AACAAAGTTTGCGTCAACTAAGGTTAAGTTTATGTTTGCTAAAGTGTTTGAGTTTACTAAAGCTGAAAACTCTGCATTCGAATGAACAATAGGCAAACCAGCAGAGAAAGTGTTGTTTATACGCATGAGTATCTTTTGGTCATAGTAGTTTTGTCGACATTCGAATAACACTTTGAACCTAAGTTTGAAACAATATATAAGATTGGTGTACTTAAAGTCAATGGAACAGACATTCCTTGTATGACACCTTTTCCTGTTATAGGAAACTGTTGGTAGTAAAAACCAGATATAAGTTTTGTATTATAGCTCATATCGTTTATAGTAAACTCAGTCGGACATCCAAACATAATGAAACCTGCTCTAGTTGCAGCACATGTTACATCCGTCCTTAAAGTATTAAATAAGTCAACAAAACCTGTTGGTGGTATATCTGAGTAAGTATCTTCAAAGAAGTATTTTTTACCATTCACAACAACAAAGTCTTCTGGTGTCAAAAGAGCAAAACAGGCTTTAGTCGTCATTGTGTTTAAGGTTAGTTTACAATATCGTCCTTGAGGACTTTGTAAGTTTGTTGTTATAGAATTATATGACTCAGGGTTTTTAGTCGTAATAGTATAAACCACTATCTTCTGCCATTTACTTAGCAAGTAAATTTTAATGAAATGTTGTGGTCGTCAAATATTTTTATGACGTCTGGGAAACTATATTTTAAGTTCAACGTTTCACCTCCTTTCATAACGTATATCTTGTCAATGACATTATATGAAACACCACAGCAAGCAATGTCGGGTTCTATTTCTTTGATGTTTATATCGTCTGCCTCTGTCAAAAGTTTCAATAGTTCTTTCAAAACTTCATGAGGTGCAATGACATATGAGTTCACTTTTACAGGGTTGTGTTCGACCAAGTTTAACATTATACCTAAAGCTTGACAAATCTTCTCCTGAGTTTTAAGTTTGTCTTTAAGTTGTTGGTAGTCGTTTCGAATATCTGCAACAGAACTTAAGTCTCTGCTAACTTCAGGGTATGTTGGTTGTTCTTTTACAGGAACTATTGTTATACCATCTTCGTCTTCGTATGGTTTCCCCACTTCAACATCTCTTTCTTTGACATTGACAACAACACTTTGACTGTTTGTTTGAGTTGGTGAATTTAACTTCACATCTGCCACGCCATTAAACCTTTTGAAACACTTACGCTTCTATTTTTCGGAAATGACATTTTACTTAGAATAAAAAGATGGACGTATTTGAGTATCTCTTCGAATTGAAGCAGAACAAAGTTTACACACACAAACAATACAAATACATTGACAGAATAGTTCTTTACACAAACAATGGAAAATGTTATAGAATAGCAGTCTTTGCTGAACCAAAATATTTTCATAAAGCAAAGAAAGTTGGTATAACTGAAATGGTGAAAGTTCTTGAAGCAGACAAAAATATAACAACAAAACTTACAGATATTTCTAAAGGTAAGTTTATAATACAATTTTATGTCAAAACTGGCGTACTGTCAATATTTGACGGAGAGAAGTCAGTTCAAGAACAACTTACTGACCTGCTGCCAAAATCTGCTCGATGGAAGCTGTCGTTATGCCAATCTGAGGAGCCCCAGCAGGTTTCATCGAACGAATCTTCAAAAGAGCATCTTCCGTGAAAAGTGCTATTGGTTTTGTAAACTTCTTTGCTTTCAATTCATTTGGACCGTCTCTGTCACCAGTATATTGTATTTGAACTGTACCAACAGTTGAAATACCACCCATAAAGTCTTCTGAGTCAGCAAATGGAATGCCAAGCCAAAAGTTTGAACGGTCTCCATTTGTATATTGAGTTTTTTGAGCTCCTGTATGAGTCCATACTTTCACATATGGCATAATAGAACTTTGCATTTCAGGGTTAATGGTTGTTGTGAAGTTGTTGTTAAAGTTCATAGCATCTAATGTCAAGTTGTATGACCTCATATCCTCAACTGTAGAATATTCTTCTCTTGGATAATATTTGCCATCTATGTTTATATGATATTTAATACCAGGGTTGTAGAAACAAGAATAGTCATTTATAGTTCGTCTGAACAGTACAAACATAGTATCTGCATGTTTCATTGCAGTTGTTAAGCAATATCTGTTCTTGCACCTGGGTCAGCACTTTGGTTTCCAACTTCACCTGCAAAGTCTTTGACAGATATTTGGTGTATAGGGAACATAAGTGGAACTGCAATATATTTGGCAGCTAAAGCATTTGAAATATCTGGGTCCAACATATAGACTGCAAGTCTGCTTTCTATTCTCTTGCATTCAAACTTTTGCATGTGAACTTAACTGGGTCCCAAGCAGTTCCAGCAGCATTGAAGTAATAGTTTACTTCAGTGTTGAGGTTTGAGAAACCAAAGTCTAAGTCAACTTTGTCTTTGCAAAATCGGCGAATGACGTTTGATTTGCTCCCTTTACGTCTGTAAGAGTGAATGGGTCTTGTGTTGGTGCAATGACTAAGTTATTTTTGCTTGGAGTAAGTTCGAATAGAAATTTTTCCTGCCCAGTTTGGCAAGTATCTTAAAAACCTGAAGATGAGGAAAGATGACAAAGGAACTCTAAGTTTCAGTTTTACTTTGTTACAGCTTTCATCTGTCCAGAAAGGTTAACATAAACTCCTGGAACGTTAGGGTCAAGTCTTCTTATTTTCTCAATAGTTGCATACTGGTCTGTTTGTTCTCTAGCTTGTGGTTGTACTGAGTTTCTCAAAGCGAACCATTCATAGTTTGCCCATGTTACTGTTTGAACTAAGTCAGAGTTAGAATATATCTTATATCCCATGAAAACTTCTGGAGCATATTGGTATCCGACATAGAAAATTCCATTGCAACCTTTCTTGTCAGACAACTTGGCAGAAGGTTTTATTTCAATGTCTTGTTCCACGTATAAGAAAGAGTTGTCAATAGAAATAATATGAAACCTGTCGCAAGCAATATCTACTGTTGTTGAAGAACCTTCTCCAAACTCACCTACGTTTCCATAAGAAACAGCAGTTGTATATTCGTAAGTTCCAGGAACTATTTCTGACCTTCTAATGGCATTGTCGCATTCGTTATACCATTCGGAAACATTTCCATTCATGCATCCAAAACTGTTGGCGTTATATTCTGAGCGGCGTACATTTCATATGAGTAAAAATATAGAATAGTTGGATTTATATGTCATAATAGAACCCACTCCGACCAAGCTTTACTTTCTTCCTGACTGAGTTTTTAACTCTTCTTTTTCCTTCATTGCCCTCTGCTTGAAGTTGTTGCATCTTTGCATTATGTTCATCTAGTATGTTGCAAATTTCCCATGTCCTTTTTGCCTTTTGGCTCTGGTCGCCCATCTCAGGTAACCTATATCCTAGAAAGAGTTTGTCATAGTCTGTATTTGAGTTTCGCGTATTGTTTGCATGACTCTTTCCTGAGTTTCTGGTTCAAGCTCTTCAAACAGTGCCTGTCCATATGGAATAAGCTCGTTTCCAAATATATGTTTTTGTAGCCATTCTGGTTTTCTTTCCATGTTACCACTATATCTTTTGTGAATGGGAAAGCTTCTACCCAATCTTTCAGTCTTGCGTCGTTTATTTCTGTAGTTGGTTTTATTTTGTCAAGGAACATGTTTTTCAATACTAACATTTCATTTGGTACTGTCCATTTGAGTTTTCTTAAATATTCATCCCTTCTCGGTTCATTGTCTGCAAAGTAAGTTTTTATGACATTTTGTAAACTTTCGTTTGCAAGGTCATGTACAATAGGTTCTCTTCCTTCTCCTCCCTAACTTTCTTTCTAAACTCTTCACCAAATATACCATCTCTATGGTTCTGTGTAGTTCTTTGAGATAAATGTTCTAGAACGTCAGGTGTTATATTTCCATCAGCCATGTTCATTTCATACTGGTCCAAAATATCTGCATCTTTCATATCTTTCAATGGCATTAAAGCCGCGCTGAAAATACCAGCTACATCTGGTTCACCATTCACTTCCATTGCGTCTACAACTTCTTGGAATTGTGGTTGTAAGTTTATGAACCACCTATCCGGATTAGCTTTATGACCCCATCTCATTGTAGTTCCATCGTCTGCAGAAACAAAAGTAGGTTTGTTTCCATCTTGGTTAGGTTCTGAATGAACTTTAAACAATGTTTCATTTCTATATGTTTTCTTGAAATTTAACCTTTTATCTTCACCGAGTTCATCCGAAGATTGAACGTTAAATGCTCGTAAGTAAAAAGGGTTGTTGTATTTGTGTACATTTTTTTTCAGTTCTTCCATTCTATGCTGGATATTTTCATCTGATGTTGGAGTCTTTTGTATGTCGGCAAACATTTTTCGATATTCTTCTACTATGTCAGCCGAATTTTTTTTAGACTCTTGGAAATATTCCATATTCTCCGCATACTCTTGTTGAGGGTCAAGATTTTTCGGCTGTTCCAAATCTTCATCTAGTTCTGTGAAGTTAGTTTCCAAAGGAGTGACTTGTTCGTTTCCTTCAGGCTCTTCTAGCTGTTGTTGCTGAACTATTTCTTCCATGTCTGGTTGTATCTGAACTATTTCTTCCTGTGGAGTTTCTTGTACCTCATCTGCTGGCATTTCATATATTCCGAGACCGTTTTTAACAAGTTCCCTATCTAAGTCATCCGGACTCATAAACTTTCTTCTTTCGTTCCGTCTCTATTTTTTACGCGTTTCATGAAGAGAGTTGTATTGTCATTTAGCTCTGACACAAATATCTCGGAGTAAATTCATCCATGTCATTTGGATGATATGCTATTAAATCATATCCCTTAGCGAGCTTGTATTTTCCAGGTTTGAATTATATCCCATTTGGTGCTGAGCCATAAAGCTAAATAGGTTCGGGTCAGTATTTCCATCCTTGAACTTTCTAATAGCTTCTTTATATCTGTCACTAAAGTCAATAGTATCTGGGTAACCATACTCTTCCTTCAGCATTTTTAAGAATTCTTGGTTTCCTTGTTCTCTACTTCTTTTATGTCCTTGCTCTGTTTGTGGTTGTTGTTGTGCAGGGTTTTGAACTGTTGGTTGCTGTGCTGGTTGTTGTGTTGGTTGTTGTGCTGGTTGTGGAGGTGGTTGTTGTGCTGGTTGTTGTGCATGCCTGTGTCTGTGTCCATGTGACGATGTAAATGTTCTAGGTAGTCCTGGTGCAGGTGCTTCTCTTGGAGGGTTTGGTGGTATATAAGTTCCACCAGCTGGCACATATGTTCCACCAGCTGGTATATAAGTTCCACCAGCTGGCACATATGTTCCATCTGCAGCGTAATGTCCTACCTGACTTTTCGTTCTTAAGAAAGCATTTACTAGGTCTGTTTTGGTCTGTTGTAACTCTTTTTCTTGACTTTTCACAACAGTTGCTCTAACGGCGTCATAGGCACTTTGAACTGCCTGTCTCGTTGCTGCATCTGTTATTTTCGTCATATTTTGTGCTACTTCTCTTAACTCTTTGTCGAAACCTTCAGACTTCAGTTTCTTTCCAGATGAGAAGTCGTTCACTAGTTTCACCTTACTATGAAGAGCTTCGAAGGCGTTCTTAAAGTCAGCATTTGTTAAAGCTTCATTTGAACTATCTTCATCCGCTTGTATTTTTGTCCTTATTGACCCTATGAGTTGGGCTGCTTTAGCGTTGGCTTGGGCATCTAACCAGTCATTGTTAGCTTTTATATATTCTGCGCTTTTCATTGCCTTTTGCATGGCTGCGTCGTTATTTTTACTTTCTTGTGCTAAGTTTTCATACTGTACGGTTTGGTTTTGCAACTGTAAAAGTTTTTCTGCCTTTACATTTGCTTCAACTTCTTTTTTATACTCATCGCTATCCATATATGTCTTCAGGGCTTTTTGTTTTATCTCTTCATCTTTCAGTATTTTATATTGAGTAGTATGGTTTTTCAAATTTATGACATCTTGTTCCATTTTTGCTACTTCTGCTGCTTTTTCTGACACTTTTTTCGCATATTCCTCTGTACTTAGTTCTTTCAGTTGTTCTTCTTTCTTCTTTTTCTCTACGTTTAACTCATTGAGTTTCTTTGTGTGTCTGTCATATTCTAGTTTCTTTTCGTTTTCACTTATTTGCTTCTGTATGTCTATGCTTGACTTTTTGACATCTGTTATTTGATTTTTGAGTGAACTCAAATTCATTTGACTTTGAGGGTTATATGCTGTTCCGTCTGCAGCTCCACCATAGCCTGCCATTTTCGCTAAAAGTGCCGCTCTTAAACCTCCACTCTGTGCACCAACAACTCGGTTTAAAAGCATAGGATTGCTTGACATTTGTTGCAACATAGTGGGGTCATTCAGCATTTGTTGTTGCAACTGTTGTTGTGGTGTCAGTTTTACTATTGGATGTTTCAATGCTCTCTTCCTCTTACGTATATTCTTACGTAGCTTACGTGGCATTTTAAGTGAAGTTAAAAAGCGGTTTTTGACAGATGTTTATATGACACTTTTTGTTCAGCACAAAAAACTACTCGGTCAAAGTGTTGTCAGTTTTGTAAAATAACCGTCCTATCTCATTCTATAAGGGAAAAAGGCTTCTCAAAGTATACTTCCTTGGAACGCCTGTAACTTTTCCTGTAGCGACGATAGACCCTTACTTGTCTGGACAAAGCTGTACTATTTTGAGTGCTCTACAAAAAAGTCAACGGCGACGACTCTCAAAAACCGTTGTGTAAAAAGTTTTACCGTTGGACAAAAAAGTATGTATAGAAAACAAAAAACGTTTATAGTTCATTCAATATTTGAGATGGAACGGTTTGCCAACGGTAACTATTAAATAAAATAAAAAAATAGAGGGGGTTACCGTTGACGAAAACGGTTTATTTTAAACTTTTCTATGAGTAGTCCGAAAAAAACAGTTTATTTTTGTCTAATGGAAGCCAACATTAACAATTCTCAACCGCTAACCAAAGCCAAAGCCCCACAACCTCCAAGAACTGGCACAGCTGTTAGAATAACCGCCAAAAAGTCTAACAGCGAATTAAGAGAAATTCTTCAACAAATTTGCTCTAAATATCTCAAAGACGCCGAAGAAAACACACAACCAGACGCTATATACAATACTCAGTTCTGTGAAGTTCTGAACAAAGCAATTGCTAGTTCAATTGAACTTACTAAGACAATTCCAAGTCCAATTGAGCTTAGCGATGTCTTAGTTCAGTATTTTCCAACATTTACTAAGCTTATAATGTTGAGAACTTTATACCAAGTTCGTCAAAATCTTCCTCGTAACATCCAACGGTCATTCGACAAGACAATTGCCGAATTCCAAGTCTTTAGTTACGGATATGACCAAGATGAATACGTTGACGAGTTCGGAGACAACTGTACAAAATGGTTTGAATGCTATACGACAACACAATTTGAATTCGACTTTCTCGAATTCAACGCAGCAACCATTTATATCATTGCTCTTTACCTTTCCGAACAACAACAAGACCTCGCAGATGGAGATGTTGTTACTGTCGTCATGGAAACTCCTGAACAATTCGGAAAAAAGAAGTCTCTAATTGCCAAATTTGTTCCAGGACATCAGCTTTTCCAACGCACAGAAGTCTTCTGTATTCCTGGAACTAAGTTCTTTGTCAGGAGCGAACTCAAAGAAAGATATAATGTGTCATTCAATTACACATTATATAATGTCTTCGACCCAGAAGAAGACTTCTTCCCAGAAGCAATGGAGGAGGAAGAAGAGGAGGAGGAAATACAAGACTCAATCCAAGAAGAGTCCTCCGAATTCACACCAGAAGACTAACAATTTTCCGAATAAAAACCTCATTTTTTACTAAACATCTTCGGGGCTAGAAGGGGCGCAGCCCCTGGAAGCCCCACTGCCCTTTTTTTTTTTTTTTTTTTTTTTTAAGTTTTATAACAAATCTATGGAAAATATTTTGTATCATATGCATAATCAAAATATCAATTTTATGAAGAATTACTTAGAGAATTTATTTTTTTCTAAACGTATGCGGACCATTTTCAAACTATAATTATTAAAGTATTCCAACATATATTCTAAAATTATTATTGATTCAATTCCAAGGATCAAAATTATTATGGAAAATCCAGAAAGCGTGTGCTTGAATGTTGCCGAGAAGATTCTATTAGCATTAGATGATAAAACTATTTTTAAGAGATACCTAAGTGAAAAAAATCAACTATCTACAGATAAAACTCGGACAAAAACACAAATCTCAATAAGCTCGTTTACAAAATCCATATCAAATGATATGCCAACAAGTAATAAAGAAAATAACCAGCTTTATTTAGCAATCATCCAAGAAATTGAAAACTTACAAAATCAAATTCTTCCTTCCACACCGGTTACACACCATAATGATCTTGACGATGCACTAAAATCACTATTATCGGTTATTGATACACAATTTACAAGTCATCAGTTCTTGAAACACAAATTAATGTGTGAAAATGTTAAGCTAAAACAAGCTATTTCGAATATTAAGGAAGTATCACTTAATGATATACAAGAAAACAGAAAAAAGCGCATAGAAAATGATGAAAATTGGGCCGAAAGAAAAGCACGAATACTTGAATTGGAAAAAGCAGCTCAACTCGAGAAAAAGAAACTTAGCAAACAGATAGAGAAACTAAAAATAGATAATAAAGAACTTCAAACACAGATAGAACAAACTGAAACACAATACAAGAATAGGCAAGCATTAATCAATGATGCTAGCGCGGAAATCGAATCACTAGATGAAACAATATCAACTCTCAAAGAACAGGCTACTCAATTCCAATATGAATTAGAATTGACAAATAAAGCAAATCAAAATCTCGATAGTATACAAAAATTCAGAATATCAAATGGTGGTGGCCTCAAGAATGAAAAGGAAAGACTTATCCAAGAATTAGATGAGCTTAAACGGAGAAATAACATGTTAATGGCAGAATTACCAAAGACTTACAAATAATTTTCTTCGTTTACACTATGTATGTTAAAATATTTGTTAACTTTTAAATGTATTTGTTTATGCTAACTTCAATTTTTATTTTTCTTATTCGGCTATAAATAAAAGAACACATCACTAATATAACAAACTTTGCTAGTTAGACTTTTCCCAAATACATTTCTCCAGCTTATAGCCCCCTTATTTATCCCAGAAAATATCAAAAGATATGATTTTTAATTTTGTTTCCGTTTACTCTTGAAAAATTGAAAGAATTCAATGGTATTGGCGGAAAACCATTTATTATTTTTCCGCTCAAAATTTTGTTGGATTTTTGTTGCAAAAACACTAAAGTTATTGTAGCCTTTTCGAATTCTTTTAGTTTGAGCGGGAATCTGTCAAAAAATTTACGCTATCGATGCCCAAAATACTCTGAATTTTTGTGAGATTTACAGACTAATTGAACGATAAGAAATCAATTGATTTTCAACGAATGAAGCCAGCTATCAGAGCAAAGCTTGAAGAAATTCGTCAGAAGCGTGCATTCAATGTTGAGGATTGGGTTAACAAGAAATGCGAGCTCCTCAACCAGTACATGAGAAAATCAGGATTAAAGGCAACTGTTGTCAATGTTTCAGGTGGTATTGACTCAGCTGTTACAATTTTACTTTGCCAGAAGGCTGCTACATTACCAGACAGCCCAATCAAGAAAGTTCTTGGTATCATTCAACCAATTCACTCAACATCACACATCATGTCACGTGCTGAAGAGTTCCTGATCGAGAAGAAGATTGAATACGCTAACGTTGACCAATCAGCAGTTTACGATCTCCTTTCTAAGACAGTCGAAGATTGCCTTAAGTATCCAAACGCCCAATTCGCCGGTGGCATGTTAAAGTCATACATGCGTACCCCAGTCGCTTACTATGCTGCTCAACTCCTCTCCAGCAACGGACTTCCAGCAATTGTTATCGGAACAGGCAACTACGATGAAGATGGCTACCTTTACTACTTCTGCAAGCCAGGAGATGGCACATCAGATGTCCAATTGATCCATGATCTTCACAAATCCGAAGTTTTCGCTGTTGCTCGTTATCTCAACTGCACTTCAAAGATTCTCGATGCTCCACCATCAGCTGATCTTTGGGACGCACAGACAGATGAAGGAGAACTCGGTTTCTCTTACGATTTCTGCGAACTTTACGTCGAATTACTCCACGACAAGGCAGATATGGATAAGTGGGTCGCAACACTTGACGAAGAAACCCGTCAACAGTGGGACCACGTTGCACAAAAGATCGAAACAACACACCGCCGCAATTCTCACAAGGAAGTCTGGCCAGTCAACTTAGATATCATCTGCCCAACAGGCAAGCAATATGTTCCAAAGTAAACGCGAATAAACTTTACATCTTTTCATATTCCTCCAAAGTTCTTTTTATACTTCGTTTCAAATTTTCTCAAGCTTACGTAGAGAAGCTTTCTGGAAACTTACGTGCTTGAGAAATTTTTATAATATGATAACCCAGAAATCACAATTTATATAAAAATTATTTTATGAAATTTCATTAAAAAATGAACAGTTATTACATACTTCTGCATTAAATCAATTTACTTAACCCAAAATCTATAAAAATTGCAGTCTTGTAATGTTAATTTTTAATATAGCAAATGCATAATAGTATTGCATGTACTATCCAATATACTGATATAAATAACATTTCCATATTTCATTCTAATACTGAGATGCTTATAGGTCCTGAGATACCCTATAAACATTTTCTTACACGCTTTGAACCGAGTGAATACGCCGTGTTTCCTTCATTATCCTTTGTATGTTGATTATCTCCAACTGAGACAAGATATTTTGCCAACAAGTTCTTTAATTTCTATTCCCTGGTCACTTTTAAAACATCATTTAACTATATTTTAATGGTAAAATCTGATAAAATCCTATTAATATGGTAATAGCATATATTAGGGATGCGTTAAACACGCCATTTGACCGGGCGTACATTTTTTTTGTTCGCCCAAAAATTTCGCCATTTGAGAAATTCAAAAATTAAAAATAAAATTTTAAGGGTGCACCTGTATGTACGTTTATTTGAGAGGAGGAGGATTATCCTCTCAATTTTGAGGGATTCGTTAGTTTATTTTCTCGATGAATATGCAATAAAATTTGATTTTTACCTTATCAATATACTTCATATAATATACACATGTTCATGTAAAAACTTTTTTCCAAAATCCTCAGGAATTAAGGGATTTTTGAATTTTAAGAATTTTTTTCGAATTTTTTCGAAAAAAAAATATTTTCAGAACAGCCTTAACGGCTAAGATTTAGGAACAATGTTAAGTATCAAAAAGAAAGGAGGTCTGATATAGACAACATATATCGTTGAAGGTTGAAAAAATCTCTAATATTTGAGCCAAAAATTTCAAATTTTAATTTTTTGAAAAAAGAGGCCACCCGTATGTACGTTTATTTGAGAGGAGGAGGATTATATTTTTGAAAGGGTGAAACATTATGAATATGTTAATTATATAATAATATGTATTATTATAAAAAAGAAAAAATAAAGCACGTTAAAATTTTTCTTTCTTGATTTTTTACAAAATCTACTTAGAATTATGCAAAATATGACTAAATAATTATAAATTTCAAGTTAATTTTTAATTTTGATAAATAATTTAAATTTCAAAATATCAAGTTCAGTTCGACTATGTATGTAGTAATTCCTCAATAAAGTGCCAAAACCCTATTAAAATATATGAACATTTTCAACATTTTAATGTTTTTATTTAAAAATTTGATGGAATATGAGCTTCAAACAATTATTATGTAAATAAAAATAATTAAATATATGTATTTATTCGTATTACAACCGTAGTAAGTCGATTCTTCCTTTCTTCTACTGAGTTTTGAATTTGATTTCGAATTGTAAAGAGATTCAAAGGGAAAATACTAGCGGATAAAAACTACCTCCATGAAAGGGTCATAATGGACTCAAGTTGTATTTTTTGATATTTTTTGCTTTTCGAGCCTAAATAGGTAGCCAAGATAATGCCTAAAAATAAGGTTCTAAATTCTGAAGTTTACATGATTCTCTCGTGTGCACCCTTAATCTTGATTTTTTTATTTTCGTGATTTTTTTGAAACTTACATAAGCGATGAAATACTTTTTTTAAGTAATCGTTTATTATATATAAATATATCTTAATAAATTTAATTCCTTAAGGTAGAGCGTGTTCAAATTTAAAATCTCATACAATATTTTCTTAATGGCGTATTTTTCTGAGGTCGCCCAAATAAAGGCGAATTCAAAATTGAGAACTCCAAGGCGTATGGTGAGTATTCAAAAAGTACGCCACTTACAAAATATTGAATGTGGATTATCAATTTTTTGGCGTGTTCAATTTCAAATTTTGATATTTATGTTTATTTTATTCAGTATAATGCTAAGAATTAAAATATAAAATTCATAGAATTTTTTCTTTGAAAATATTTTACATTTTTATTAGACCACTCCTAGACTAGTCATCAGGCTATCCTCAGATCATCCTCAGACTACTCCTTATCAGATTACTCATCATCCTCAGACTACTCCTTAGACCCCTCCTCATCAGACTACTCCTCAGATCTTCCTCCTGAGACTACTCTTCAGATCTTCCTCCTGAGACTACTCTTCAGACTACTCCTTAGAGTCCTCCTCATCAGACTAGTCCTGAGACTAGTCCTCAGACTACTCCTGAAACTACTCCTCAGACTACTCCTGAAACTACTCCTCAGATTATCCGCAGACTCCTCCTCAGATTATCCTCAAACTACTCCTCAGTCTAATCCTCAGACTCCTCATCAGATTATGCTCAGATTATCCTCAAACTCCTCAGATTATCCTCAGACTACTCCTCAAACTCCTCAGTCTAATCCTCAGACTCCTCCTCAGATTATCCTCAAACTCCTCAGACTACTCCTCAAACTACTCCTCGGTCTAATCCTCAGACTCCTCCTCAGATTATCCTCAAACTCCTCAGATTATCCTCAAGCTCCTCAGACTACTCCTCGGTCTAATCCTCAAACTCCTCCTCAGATTATCCTCAGACTCCTCCTCAGATTATCCTCAGACTCCTCCTCAGATTATCCTCAAACTCCTCCTCAGATTATCCTCAAACTCCTCCTCAGATTATCCTCAGACTCCTCCTCAGATTATCCTCAGACTCCTCCTCAGATTATCCTCAGACTCCTCCTCAGATTATCCTCAGACTCCTCCTCAGATTATCCTCAAACTCCTCCTCAGATTATCCTCAGACTCCTCCTCAGATTATCCTCAGACTCCTCCTCAGATTATCCTCAGACTCCTCCTCAGATTATCCTCAAACTCCTCAGACTACTCCTCAAACTCCTCAGATTATCATCAAACTCCTCAAACTACTCCTCGGTCTAATCCTCAGACTCCTCCTCAGATTATCCTCAGATTATCACTTTACATATATATATCGATAACTAAATAATTACTTATTATACTTTCTTTATTTTTTTTAATTTTAAAATAATATTAATATATCTTTCTACGTTTAATGATGAAAAGAGAAAGAGGAGTAAAAAGAGGAAAGAGAAAAGAAAGAGAGAGAGAAAAAAAAAGAGAAAGAAAGAAAAAAAGGACGGCGATAATTTTGTATTGTTTTGTTATTCGGCCGAATGGCGGCTACTTCGTACCCGCCATTCAGCCCAAAAAATGGCGTATTATTCTATTTTTAAACGGTCATGGCGTAAAACCGTCGCGTCCCTAGCATATATTACACTCCATAAAATTTCAAAATAATCGTAATTTTTATTTATTTTGAACTCGAATGAAGGGATGTTCCTTTAAATCTCCATAAATATCACATATGAAAATAACTATTAACGAATTAATTTAAAAAACAAGTTTTATTTTATACAAAACGCAAAAACAAGAGAAGATAAACACTATAAATTATTGGAAGATATAACTACCGAAAACATATTGCTTGCCATATAGAAGAATAGGGCTATTAAAGCTTTCAGTAAGTTTTTTAAATGATGAATACTCAATTGTATGTTCTCCTGGCTTAAGATCAAAATATTGTTCAAATTCTTTATCAGCACCTTTACAGGTGAAAAGCATATTTGCTTTGAGTTCACTGATAAAAAGAGCCACATCAAAATTGTTGTCTTCTGTCTTGAAAAGAGAAAAAAGAAGTTCTCTAAAAGTTGTATTTGTTAATGATGGCCGAAGTGATAAATAAAGTTTGAAAAATCCTGTAAATTCGATTGAATTATCGTGATTTGCTTCAAGATATTTTAACATATTGCTTTTAACTGTTTTATCTATAATGGGAAATACCGTATCGAATCTTTCAAAAGTTATAACTTTCGAATTTCCGCATGCTAATTCATATTTTTCGTACATTGTGTCAATTATTGTTTCGCTGACTTGATATTGTGTACTAAGTCTCTCTTTGTATTCCATCGCACTCTCAATATCATTGGACTGACTAGAACCCATAGATGCGAGAAATTTTCTAAGAAAAACGCGGAATTGACAAACCTTTCAATTTTTGAAAACTAAACCGTCGAGATCATTTGTCACATACATTCTATTATTTCATTTTTGGAAAATTTTGAAAAGATTGAATTTTTCAAACCAATTGTTGTGAGTTGCACCCAGAAGTGCTAAGGATCTTGAAAATAATAAAGTGAAAGACTCTCATATCTTACAATGACTCGGAAATGGATCTCCGAATGACTAAATAAGATCTATCGTCGAATCTATGAAACTCTCTGGGTAAGTATTTCCTATGTAAATTCTAACAAGAATATAACACTATAACATATCACAATGTGTAATGCACAATCCGGTCAAAAAATACTTATCAGAACACATCAAAAGTTTGTCTAATTCTTTATACGAAATTGAAATTCCAAGCTATTGTAAAACATTTATTATAAGTCATGCAATCGAAGTAGTCAAGAGCTATTCTTATTTTTGCGTAACATTATTTATTCCACACATTAAATATGATTAAAACCTAACTATTTTTAATTAAATGAATTCAATTCATTCAAGACTATTAAGGAATATTCCAAAATAACATGCAAAGCTTTATGACATACCAACAATATGAAAATTACTTACATATAAAACTAAATAATATTTATTTTAAAGTACAAATAATATTATAAAGAAAATGGAACAAAAACTGCATTTCCATCTTCTGAAACACAAAGAATGCAGTTTCCATTTCTAACAATCTTCACAAGATTGTAGTGTCCCTCTAAAATTACTTTGAATTTCATGTCAAAAACGTCAAAAGTAACAATGCTGCCGTTTGCAAGAGCTGCATACGCAACATCACAATCTCTGAACCTTCCAATATCAATGGAAGTGATATCTGGCTGTTGAATTCTTTTGATGAAAAATCCATTGACGTCAAAGAGTTCAATGAACTCATTGTTCATCAAAAGAATATGTCCGAACACCGGAGTAATCAAAACTTTTGTAGGATGACTGATTTTAACGGTCTTAAATAAAGATCTTCTTCTTAATGAGTATAAACTCATTTCTTCTTCAGTACAAACCACGAACAAGTCAAATTCTTTCCTTATTGCTGAGCAGACATATGGTTTGATGCTTCTTCTGTGAGAATTAAGAATCATCTCAGAATTATGTCTGAAACAGAAGGCATCTGAACCTGTAATCGCCGTTCCATAGTTGTTTGTTGATGAAATACTATCGATTCTTGAAAAGAAATTGATAGTTGCCGTAGTTAATTGACTGGAAAGTTCTCTGTAGATGATTTTGTGTCTTCCAGAGTCAACAAAGAAATAAGATGCAGGGGAACTAAGCGAAAAAGCTGTTTGCGGAGCAACTTCTATCTGATTAAACAAAGGAGATGAAGGTTGGCCGTTAATTCGATAGAAAACGCCTCTTTTATCACGAGCAACACCTTTAACACCATCATTTATGAAGCCAAGACAAACATCAACCATGTTTTGAGGAACTTTGAAATTATAATTATTTTGGAAAATGCATTTCGGAGGCAAAACTTGCCTTGCTGGGTGCGGGGAAGTAAACAGTTGAGGAGGAACTTGGCCTACAGCCTTCAACATGATCTCTACTTGTTCTGGAGGTGGACAATCTTTTTCTTCCCAAATATTTGAGTATAAATAAGGCATATATACGTTATTTGCCTTCTCTGCATTTTGGCCACGTTGTAAATAACCGAAAACAAGGTCAATCCATTTCTCAATTGGGGCCATTTCCAAAATCTTCCTATGTTTATCGACAAACTCGTGAGGTGAGCTTGCCCATGGTGGAAGAATTACATCTTGTGGGCCACCGAAGTCGTATTTGTTCATATTCGTCAAAAATTCTGTTGAGAAATAAAATTCAGGAGGAACTTCGAAGAAATCGTTTCTCTGAGTCAAAGAAATCTCATGGTTATTCGCAATACTCGAGAAAACTCTCATTGGTCGATCAAATTGACCACTTTGGAATTTAATATGCAAAGTAGCGAATGGTTCCGTTCTAATTAGCAGTAAATAAATCGAAGGACCACTTATATGTGTCGAACTGTAAAGATGAGGTGGTTCCAAAGATTCACTCCTAATTTTAAGGAATTTCAACCTTGGTTCGTACATTGCGCCCAATGGTTTGGACATATCTCTTATTAGTTCGGGATTGAGAGCAGAAATTTCATTGCTTTCTTCAATTTTCGGTTTTTCTTCGATTTGATCTGGAGAATTTTCGGATTTGGCATCATTTTCTTTGTTACTGTTTTCTGTTTGTTCATCTTCTCCATTTTGTTCATCGTTTTCTGTGTTTTTCGGAGCCATTTCTTGGATTGGTCGAGGAGGGAAACTTAAAGGGACTCTGTAGTCTCCCAAAGCCCATGGCATGAATGGATACTGGCAAATATCATATGTATTTCTTCCAGCCAAGTTGTTTAAGTGCATAAGATAGGCAAAGTTTGAAACTTCGCCAACAGACCATCGCTGAGTAATTTCTCCGAAAGAGAAATTACCAATAGGTGATTTGTAGATGTCAACGGAACTTGGCATGTGAATCTTAATTATATCTATAATTTGTGTTGAATTTTGACCAGGGAAACAGAAGAAATAACTGGATCCGTCATGAAGAACGAATTGCAAAGAGTTCAAATGATGGTAATGCGTTCTTGGAAGGCAACATTTGATATCTTTGAACAAAAACGCCTTTTTCTTCGCATCACTAGTGACAATGAATATGGATTCTTTGAATACGAAGCGAATCTTGACTTCTCTGGCTTGGTTTATGTATAAACCATCTGCTTCGAAAATTATTTTTTCGTTTTCTCCAATATTTTTGAGATCTAAGTACTCAAAAGTGCGGATCATTGACGTAGTAAAGTGTTTGACCCTAAGAACTAATGGTGTATTGTTATATTCATTCTGATAATTTTCAATTGTCTTTTTTTCGTTTTCTAGATTGGCCACAGCATCTGTATTCCTCTTTCCATCACGTTTTATTGATGCATCAGCATGGATTGTATATCTCTTGTTCGGTTTGAATCGGACATTTAACCAATTCGTATTTACAAAGTTATCAACTTTCTCATATCCTTGGAATATCGGCTTTGGATATAGAGATTCTTCGTAAAATTCGCCTCTTTGAGTAAGTTTGAACCATAAAATATCCCAAATTGTCTCTGAAATTTTTAATTGTTCCTGTTGCTGCAAAATTCTTACATTGTTTGATTCAACAAATGATTCAATCAGGCTAAGATTTTGCTTTGGAGGAACAGTTTGGGCTGAAACTGGTTCTTTAAATGAGATATCATTAAATAATGGCTTCAAAGTGGTGAAAAGATCCATAGATTCGAATCCACACTGCTTTGTTGATAAGAAATTAACGCCAATGTTGAATCTTCTTCCCATATAAATAATAAAATCTTTGTAGAGCGAAACATCGCCTGAGAAATCCATGGAAGAGATATATACAAGATGTTCACGAACGACTTCAGGAGCGAATCTCATCAAAAATCCTGAAGTTATTATATCATATTTCAAAATTCTTGAATCTAAGATACTTTGATATAATTTCAGGCTTTCTGATGCAAGATCAATGTCAATCCATCTTCCTTCTTGGTCGATATTCAGTTTAAATGTCCAATTATTATCAATTTTTTGGAATAACAAGAAATGGAAACATAAAGCAACGAAAAGATAAGAATTATTAGAGTTGGATTCCACTTTAATGCATTTCGATGCATATTTAAGGAATTCCAAAACATGATTTGGCTTATTTTGGTACATACAAGCAATTTTATCAGCAATGTTTGCGCAACCATTGTCAATAATCGCTTTGTACAGCCGTTCCCTGTAAGGATAGATTTCGTCGTCGAGATGTTCAATAATTTTCGGAAATGCGTTGGAAAAATCAATGGAAGTATTGCTGTAAAGCTGATCAATGGTATCGAAATCAGTCATATATGCCAAATCAATGATTAAAGGAACAGAATCTGGAATATCAAATCCAATTAAATTTTTAACAAAAACTTGATTTCCGTGGTATTGGGACAAATTCAGGGCTTTCAAGTGGTCTTGGAGAGAAAACGGATACATGTTTCGCTGATGAGCTTTGGAAAGTATCAAAATCGTGTAAGCGGCAAGATCTGGGTTCCCTGTTTGAAGGATATCTTCAATGGATCGAAGAACTAAAGGGAAATCTGGGAAATTTATCGTTTCATCTGAAATTATTTCGGTTAATAACAAATTAAACCTGTACGCGCATTGATCGTGAGATGCAGCGAACGCTATGATGGATTTTATGACTTGTTCTGCATTCTGAGTATGACAAATTTTGAATAAAATTGAATTCAAAATTTCATTGTCAATTCTATGGGCAAAAGCAAGTAAATCTGTAATATTCAGGAGTTCTAAGCTGATCTTGTTCGACCAATGCTTGAAAATCTGATTGAAAATTGAAGGATCGTATTTTTGAATTAAATTCGGGGAAGTAATCAAATAAAGTAGTTTGTCCTTCATCTTCTTGTCTTGTATAACATCAATCATGTCGGCAATGTGCGAATAAAGGCTTGAATCAAAGAATTCATCTCTACATTTTTCTAAAATGTGGAATAAAGCCTTGTCAAGGAATTTTTCAACAAATATATTAACTGAATTAGGCATAAAAGCAAATATCTTCCTTAATAAGTCAAATGCTGATGTTAATGCAGAATTATTTTCAAAATTAGTGGCAAAAGCAAACAAAGGAAGCAAAATCTTCAGTTCAAAGCTTCGTGTAACAGTTTCTAATAGAGGATGGAACTCGATATTGCTGCTTTTCTTGATAATTGCCGTAATTTTGTTTTCTAAAAACGGAATCTTGCATTCTATATCAGTTTGTGACTTGATATTCAAGAAATATTGGTCCAAGGAGTTCAAATTGTTGATCAGCCAGTTCTTTATATTGTCTAATTCGTCTTCATAAGGAATTAAAGTAAAACTAAGCAAAAACATGCTCATGTCGTCATTGCTAATACATAACTGTGATCTAAATGAGCTTTCTGCATTGGAAATTCCTATTTTTACCTCTTGAACTTGGAATTCTGTTCCAATTGTGATTTTTAGCAGCAAATAAGCATCATTGGCCTTCATATTGATGGCCATTGGTGTTACACCACCATATCTTATCAACGGGAACTCATAAACTTGACTTCCTGCCAATACCATAATTTTATTTTGAAATTTCGAAACGGCCAAAGAGAAAATTTTGCCTTCCAAGGTTAAAATTGGTATCTGTACAGATGAATCAGTCCGTTCGAAGAAGATCCACATTCCAATTGAGATTCCTGACTTCAAATTTTGGAGATCAACTCCTTTCAAGTCAATTAACGATGGTCCGACATTAATTGGGGTGTAGAAAGGGTCTGTCTCCAATAATTCAGTCAAAATTTTTATTTTTTTGTTGAAATCAGAAGGAATTACATTATTATGCGGGGAAATCGCGCTAAAGAGGACTCTCGTTAGCTCTGTTGATGACATTATACTTGTTATGAGCTTGAGAGAGTGAAAACAGCTATCATTGGTAAAGATTTTTGGAGCCAATAAAATATCTAATCCTTCTTGCGAAAAAAGCACTCTATTGTATAGAGATTCCTTGATACATTTGGATATTAAGCTGTATTCTTCTTCATTCTCGAGAATCAATGGAATTAAATAAGATCTTCTTATCAAAGTGTTGTTTTCTGGATTTAATGAGGAAAACAACAGGTTTTTGAGGAGATTTTGGTCTTTCTTGGATGCTTCGATACTTACCTCTTTATCTGCGTACTTAATGAAGAATTCTTTCTCAAAATCTCTCAAATTTTTTTCATAAATTTTTGATGCAAGATAAGGACAATCTTTTTTGGCATTAATCTCAAATGACTTGAGTAGATGTTGACGTTCCTGTATAACATCTTCTTCCAAACTGTCGTAAAATTGAGAAATACAATTATATATCGCATCTACTGTATTTTCCTTCAAATCGAGCTGTTTTTGTAGAAAACTTATACTTGTAGATGATGTTGGATCTATTAATACAAGGTTTAAAAGTAACTTTTGCCCTTCTTTTTCAAGATTTATTTTTGTGAAGTATTTGACGACTTGGAAATGGGTGGAGTTGATTGATTTCATGCTAAAATCTTGAAATGAACGCATTAACTTGGAAGAAAATACATTTGTTTTGAAATATTTTCGTAATGAAAATTCTTTGTTTTCTTTTGTAGTCATAACTCTATTGGATCCGAAAATAAATAGCGTATAGAAGTAATTTTTGTAGTTTGAAAAGGCTTCTGACTCGCATTCATTGACAAGATTTTCATAAATGAAAATTAAGACTGCTTTCTGTTCTTCTTTAGTAGTTTCTGAGTCTAAAAGACCGAAAGATGTCAATACAGTTAAAAATAAAATGAAGTCTGACTTTTCTTTTTCGTGAATTTGAGTTTTGATCAAATCTAGCACTTCAACATGATTTTGCGGATAAAATATATCAATCGTTGATTGATTTTCTGTACCTTTTGAAATGATGAGATTGATTTGCTGCAATAAATAATTCAAATCAATATTAACTGTAAAAAAGAAGTTAAAAATGCCAGTGCTTGGTGATGTTGATGTGATCACATGACTATGTGGCTTTATGATCTCAGCAGCATCTCGTAAAACATCAAGCATTCAGAAAACAAAATCTTTAAAAATTGAGAAGTTTACAGATCTTATTTTTTTGGCATTGATCATCGTACCACCATGTTTTTCTTTCATATTTCTGCAGATATACATATGGAGAATATAAATATATTGTAGTTATCGGTACACTCATTTTATTAGTTTTTATCCAAGAACCGAAACATAAGATTTCACATTGTTTACCCATTCCAATGCTATTATTTACTAATGAATAGCCTATTGGCTAAAGGACTTTAAATTTTATCTCTTATTGCCGGATATGAGATCTTGAAAAACGATCAAAACATAAATAGTTTTGTGGAAGTCATTTCGTAAATTGAGATAAAAGCATTAATAAGAATCCGAGCAACTTATAACACATATTCAAATGAATTTCATCAAATTTAGTTTACATTTTTTCAAAAAAAAATTCGTCAATTTTTTGAACTGTCCTTATCATATTCGTTTTCGGTCAAGATAAATCGTTCCAAGCAATCTATACACAATGCATATATGCTCATTTCAAAAAATTCGTCCAGTTGTCAATTTTGAATTTATTGCCGCTTGTAGATGCATAAAATCGCAAGAATATTATGCCCAATATATTACTAATCCAATTACATCTCCAGATCTGACATTAAAAAATCTATTCGGCAACACTGCTGTATAAAAAGTGATATCAAGCTTGCATTGAAAATTGAGATGCGACGAATCTACAAAACCGTCAAATTCTTCGGAAATAATTTTTTTAGGAATAAAAAAAATTTTTTTTCAAATATCGATGTCCGAGGATATCAATTTACAGGACGAAGTATATGCAGCATTAACAAACTTTCTTAGCACAGATGAAGAAATTAGAATTAGAGCTTACACGTATTTAGATGGTATTAAAACCCAAAATGATATCGGTTTCATTGAATGTTTACTCCCTATTCTTCAAAATGAAAACGAAGAACCGAAGAATAGATCCCTTGCTTCTATCTTCCTCTTCAGAACTCTTAAAAAACGAACGTCAGAAGATCAAAAAATTTTTATTCAGAATTGGTATCACCAGCCATTCGAATTAAGAGAGGCCCTTCGTGCGGCCGCATTCCAAGGTATACTTTCCGATAATAGTGATTTATCAAATCAAAGCGGAAACTTACTTGGAATTCTCCTCGCCATAGAGTTTAACTCAGCCGGCGCTCGCGAACAAGTAGAAATTCAAGATCATTTTTACAGCAAGGTAATGGAAGTTTTAGAGCTTTCTCTTAATTCATCTGATATTTCTTCCAGATCTATGGGATACCAAGTCATTAGGAACTTCTCCCAGCACTCACAGGAATTTTATCCTAATTGTGCACACGATGCACCTTTCCTTCGTTTGGTTCCTGAGTTATTTGAATGCATCTTACAAGGTATGATAGCTGCTGATTACCCGGCGATTCAGGACTCGGCCTCATCGGCTATGCTTGCTTCCCTTTTAATTTTCAAGAGACATCTCTCATTTACAAACAACAGAAATCAATTATTCGAAGTTTTATTCGCATACCTACAATCCGACATTGTCATTGAGGTTGTCCCGTCTAAGCCACTCTTCGTTGTTGGATATACAATTCTACGAAAGCTTATCGACCTTTATTATCCTTATTTCGAGGAATACATGGATGATTTATTCGAGCGTACTTACGAAGACTTAGTCTCCAATAACCCTGACCGTCAGATCGAGGCTTCCTTGTTCTGGGTCAACATTGGAGCCGTAGAAAGAGATATCCAATTCCCAGAGCGCAGAACTCCTAAAAACAGACATCACGAGTTCGACCAAAACCTTGGATTTTCACTTACAGCCTTCCCAAAGCTATTCCCGCCTCTTGTTACTTTAATCCAATCAACAGATGCAGATGATAAAGACGCAAACACTTCCCTCGACAGAAACCCACAACATGCAGCCTTCCAATGCCTTTCGGAACTCTCCGGTGCCGCGGATGCCGATGCTTTACCTTTAATCTTCGAATACGTCAACCAGAACATTTCGGAAGAAGAATGGACCCTCAGATATACATCAGTATTATTACTTAACGCTGCTAGCCAGCTCAATTCTTTCGAGTCGGATCCAGCAAATATTTTACAATCTTTCGGTTACTTCGTCGGAGCATTGGATGACACTATTCCTCGTATAATCGAAGTTGCCATGTGGTCCTTAGGCTGCATGATCGAGCGAATCCCAGAATTAGTGACAGATCCGGACAGATTCAACGAACTCGTCACAGCATTATCGAGGAAGCTCAATTTATCATCGGCGCTTACATTCCGTGCTGGTTGGCTTTTCAACAGGATATTTAATGTCTTTTCTCCAGGAGAATCCGATTCTTTGATCGCATTAAACTTCGACGAATTCTCGCAACTCTTACTCGATGCCGCCGATGTCTTCAACGACGTCGATCCTCTCGATGCAGCGTACGGCGCTTTGAACAGATTAATCGAAAAAACACCATGCGATTTAGTAGAGCCATACTCCAAGTTCCTACAATCAGTAATCGACAGACTATCAAAATTAATCGAAAAAGCTACTACATCCGCTCTGGATCCCTACGAAACTCACAAGACATTAGGTCTTTTCTGTTTCGTTGAGGCCATTGTTATGAACCTCCAATCGTACATCCCTCCATACGCTCCAGACCTCATCCAGCTTCTCCTTGCCTCCTTGAATGTCTGCCACGGCGAGTTAGTCTGCGTTGTTTTGCCGGCATTAGGTGCAGTTGCAAGAGCTCTTGGATCCGGATTTGTTGATTACCTTCCCAACCTTCTAGGACAGTTGGAGGACTACTTGCAACAGCAGGAACACGTCCGCCACGCCGCTGTTTTCGTTTGCGACATCTATAACGCGATTCCTTCTTTCCCTGAGAACATAACAAATACTTTTGTTAATCTTTTGTTCAAAGCATTTGATATACCCGATATTTCAAATGACGCGAGAGTATTTGTATTTTCTGCTCTCACGGATATCGCGAGAAACATCGGACCTGCATGTTTCGAATGGGTTGAACAATTCTTGAAATTGTTCGAGAAAGAAAGTCGCTCAGTTTTAGTCGAATCCGAAAATGTCGATGAAAATTACGTGAGATCATTTACATTTGCTATTTTACATTGTTACCAAACTATCGCTCCTTTGTACGCAGAAGTAGACAGAGGAGATAGAAAGGTACGTAATTTCTTCCACATATTCGACAAACTTGATAAGATAAGGATGATGATTGATGAAGAAATAATCATGGAAGCTGTGATGTTGGTCAAACAAATTTCCGATTTGTTCGGAAGAAAAATTAACGCTTACACACATAAGCCTGTAGTTATCAAACTCCTTAAACTGGCAAAGGAGTCAGAAAACCAGGCATTACAAGAAGTTGCTGAACAAGCAATGGAATCTATTCAAGCTTGTTAATTTTTATTTGTTTTATTTATGTTTTATTTGTTTTATTCTTTTTTTTGTTTTAATGTCTAATATATATATTATATATTATGGGATCACTTTAGTTTTATTTTAATATCTATTTATTTGATCACTTTAAAAAAAATTCTTTCAAAGTTATGTAAATGTTTTAGAATTTTAAATTCTTATTGGATTTTTTTTTTCTCTTACAAGTGATAGAGAGAGAGAGAGAGAAAAGTGCGAAGCGCAGACCATTTATATATATAAGGATCCCGTATGGAGAAAAATCCAACAGAAAATTTTTATGTTTATGTTATGAAATTATTAGTATATTAGTTTTCCTAGATTGTCATCTGAATTCTCTCGTTTGTAGAATTATTTTACTTTTGTCTTATGTTCAATACATCATTCGTTTTGAATCTACAGGTTTATAAAGGGTTCGCGTGTTATTGGCGTGATTACGTAAAGTACTCAATATTGAATACTTTATGGCGTCACATGCCAAAAAATTCAATACCGCCGCGTCATAATTTACAAAGTAATTTACTTGTCAAATTTTTTATGAGAGAGAATCGGAGCCTGAGAGGCGCTGGACAAGAGACAATGCTTCTCATGAAAGACTAGAAGGGGGCCCTAACCTCGAGAAAGGACCCCCTTCCCGGCCTTTCTGGCGAACTTTGTTTCGCATTCCGAGTGTCTGCTGCTTCAGCCAAAAGAAGCAGACACTTGCAATTGTATGTCGCGGCAAGTGCACCTGTGGTACCAAAATGCACTTGCCGCGAGCTTCGCGCAATCGCCTAATCTTCCTGGAAGGAGCGCCCAGACCGGTCAGAATCGCTCCTTCCAGGGCCATAAAGACTAGAAGGGGGCTCTGACCTTGAGAAAGGACCCCCTTCCCGGCGAACTTTGTTTCGCATTGCGAGTGTCTGCTGCTTCTTTTGGCTGAAGCAGCAGACACTTGCAATTGTAGGTCGCGGCAAGTGCACCTGTGGTACCAGAATGCACTTGCCACGACATTTTCTAAATTCAAAGATGATGCCGGAAGGAGCGGCAATACTGGCAAAAGCCACTCCTTCCGGCACATGAAAGGCCAGAAGGGGCATAAGCCAGTATTTCTCAGACGTACAAGAATTTTTTTTGACACTTTACATGTGACACTTCTCAATTTTTGCCATTATGACGCCAATTTTTCACTAGCCCTGAATCCACTGATGAAATGATGAACAAAAACTTGAGAATTTAACTTACTTCTACATAGATTAATCGATTATCTACATTTTAGCGCAAAATAAAAATATAACGTTTAATTATTTATCCGATCTATTAAAGGCTTTTTATATTTTGATAAAATTTCTCGTTAGTATTCTATATGCTCTTTTTAAAGAATCTAAAATTAGACAAATATAAAATTTTTAAAATGTTCGATCAAGACAATCATCCAAATAAATTCATTGAATTGCGAAGTATTTATAAATATCACATCGATACATATAATGCATTGTATCAGTTAAAAACTGAAAATGAAGAAGAATTAAACTCGATTTACAAAATGATCACAACAGAATTGATTGATTCTAAGAGATATCTTCCCGGAGAAATTATACAAGATATTCTAAATATCATTCTGTATAATAACCGCTATACAAAGTCATATTTATCTCTTGCCAAACGTATTTATGATGATTATGATGTTCCAAGGGATTAATATGCTGAAAAATTTTCAATGTTCCTTTTTCACAAAGAATATGGAATTAAATTAAACTCATCTATTAATTTCAAAAATTTTGAATTAGTAAATATCCATATTCATACAGAAGATACAATTTACAGAGCAATTAAATATGATGACCTAGAAAGATTCATTTCATTCACAGAAAAAGAAGGATTTAATAAAGATTGAAAACTTGATAGTGATTTATATCCATATTCCGATGAAGGATATTCATTACTTGAATTGTGTTGTTACCATGGAGCAGTTGATTGTTTCAAGTTTTTAAGAACAAAATTCAACTCAAAAATAACTCAAAAATGTCTAGTATTATCATTTTTAGGAGGAAATCAAGAGATCATGAGAAAAAAATTGACACACCAATGATGATGTTGTCGGTTTTTTGGGGCGTGAATGGCATCATCGCAATTGATATTCTTCAAAAACCTAATACGATGAATGCTCAGTATCTAATTGACAATGTTCTTACTCAAATTATCAATTCTGATGAGTTTGAGAAATCCAAACAACAAAAACAAAAGTTTGCAATTCATTTTGATAATTCAAGAGTTCACAAAAGTCATAAGGTAATGAATTACTTGGTGGAAAACAATGTCAAAGTTGTTCCAAACCCAATTTATTCACCTGATATTGCACCCTCTGACTTTTATTTATTCGGCACGCTAAAAAAGAGAGCTGAAGGACGCAAATTCGCGAGTCCAGATGATCTTGAAAATTTTGTAAGAGAGCAATTTGAGAAATTTTCTCATGATGATTTAAAGCGTGTCTTTCAAGCCTGGATCGATCGCTGCGAACGCGTGATTGAATCCAATGGTGATTATATTTAAATAAACTTTATATATATGTAACTTGTTTATTTCTATTCGCAGTATTCAGGTTTGTGCTAAACACACCTTTGGACACCCTATATAAAACACCAAATGGAGATTGCATGGAATATGCAATTATTTTACACAACATTGATTTTGTTACATTCTTGATGAATGAATACAATTTAGAGATAGAATTATATCAAAGCTGCAATTATAAAAATCTTGAATCATTTTTAGTTTATTTTGATCAAACAAATGATATTGACTCTTGCTATGTTTATTCAAATTGGTTCCATATTCCATCGCTTAGCGAATATTTCTTTTCACTTGGCGCAAATATCAATGCAAAAGATTTTATTGGATACACAGCTCTTCATATTGCTGCAACTCTTAATAGAAAAGAATTGGCAGAGCTTCTTCTTTCACGTGGTGCAAATATCAATGTGAAAGATAATTTTGGAAAAACCACTCTTCATATTGCAGCAATTCACAATAATAAAGAAATTGTCGAACTTTTCATTTCAAATGGTATTAATATCAATGAAAAAAATAAAGATGGAGAAACTGCGCTTTATCTTGCGGCAGTAAATAATAGCAAAGAAATAGTGGAACTTCTTATTTCACATGGTGCAAATATCAATAATAAAAATTGTATTGGACAAACCGCTCTTTATATTGCGGCATATAAAAATAACAAAGAAATAGTCAAATTTCTTGTTTCACATGGTGCAAATATCAACGAGAAAAATAAATATGGAGAAACTGCGCTTTATATTGCGGCAGAAAATAATAGTAAAGAAACAGCTGAACTTCTTATTTCACATGGTGCAAATATCAATGAGAAAAATAATTGCGGAAAAACAGCTCTTTATATTGCGGCATATAAAAATAACAAAGAAATAGTCAAATTTCTTGTTTCACATGGTGCAAATATCAATGAGAAAAATAAAAATGGAGAAACTGCTCTTCATGTTGCAATTTCTAAGAAAAACAAAGAAACAGCCGAATTTCTTATTTCACATGGTGCAAATTAGTTCAATTCACATTGATCGTTTTAGGTATTTTTTTTGAGCCCCTGATAACTGAAAAAAAGTTCCGTAGATATTTTTTATAAATTTCAGGAAAAATAAAAATTATGTTCAAAATGATATTTTTATTTAGGCTGATAACAGGAATGATATTTAGGTACATGATACTAGATATTTTATAGAAAACATTTGGCACTTGTTAAAAAATTTCGAGATGCAATTAGTGGGTAACTTAAGATCTATGACCTATTACACTACCATCTCACTAAATTTTGCTAATTAACATTGGAGATCAAACATGATGGTAGCAGTTTCCAGCCGAAATGGTTACATTCAATGTTTAATTAGATTAGTGAGACACATTAAACACAAAATTTCAATAGTTATACTAAATTCTTTACAGAACAAATTTTATTTTCAATTCTCATATGTTGATATAAATGCACTTTTTCCTTTCCAGGTTTTAAATTTTGTATGATTTTTGTATGTTTTTGATAACCTTCTATTCATAAACGTCATTCACTCATTCTAATTTTTATTCTCAATTATGAAACAAATTCTAAACGAGCCTTTTTATAACAGAAAAATTTTAAAATGCAGACTCTCCCCCGCACCACAGATGAGAGCTGTGAAAATATATATGGAATGATCATGAATATAAGAAAACCTGTGATGGCCGATCAGCTTACTGCAGTTTTAGCTCTCCCAAAGATTGCAGCAGCATTAGGTCCAAAAAGAACGGCCAACGAACTATTTCCTTACATCATTGAAACACCATCATTCAATGAAAAGATTTGGCTTGAAATTATTAACCAATTACCAAACCTTCAGTTAAATAAATATTCAAATGATGATCTCAAATCAATTCTTAGTGATGTGAGCCAAATTTCTAAAATAGAATCTCATCAAATCCGTAATTCCATCATATCTGCGTTTTACATCATTTTCCAAACGCTTGACCAAACACAAATTTCAAATATTTTAATACCTCAAATACTTTCAATGCTCAAAAGTCCACTTGCTACTATTCGTTCATCAGCAATTTACATTTATTCAAAGATTTGCACAAAATTAAGTGAAGCAAACAAATCTACAATTTTCAGAGAAATACAAGGGCTTGAGTCAGACAAAACACCATTAGTACGTCAGTCTCTATCATATTCAGCCGCTATTATTACAAAAACCATTAACAAAGTCGAACAAGACAAATTATTAGAAATAATGACAAAGTTTTCAAGAGATGAATGCTTATCAGTAGCTTTACCTGTTGCAGACTACTTCGTTTCTTTCGTTGCTACCACAGGACGTGTCTCAGAAGCTCTTCAAGTTGGTGAAGATTTAATGATTCATCCAAATTGGAAAGTTAGAGCAAGATTCATGTCCCAGATCCACGATATCTTCTCAAAGGATACATCTGCTGAAGATATTTTCAATTTTATTAGCCCTGGCCTTAATGATTCCGATCCAGAAGTTGCAGCAGCCGCTGCAAAACAAGTTGCTTTTTATTTGACGATTTCCGGAGCAAACATAGCTCAAGCACAAGCAGCTCTTGAAGCAGCGTTTAATGATCAAAGACCTCAAGTAGTATCCGCAGGTTTAAGGAGTCTTCCAACTTATCTTTCCAAGAAAAATGATGTCGATTTCGCCACTAAAAATTTGACAAAATTGGCTAAAAGTGACAATCCTGACATTTCTCTTGCCGCTCTTGAAGTTCTTAAGTGTTCAACAATTCCTGATGATGTATCAACAAGTTGCATCACTGAGTTACTGAAGAGCAAGGAATGGAGAGAAAGAGAACCTGTTGTCAGAATGCTTCCACAATTAATTAATCATCCATCAGATAGCGCATTGAGTGTCATCAAATTAGCATTGTTTGATGATGCTTGTGCTGTCAGATCAGCTGCTCTTGACTCAACAGTGAAGATTGCTTCAAATCTCGGAAAAGAGTGGTGTTTGAAAGATTTCATCAAAATTTTCCAAGAAGGAGCGAAAAGTGATGATTATCAACTGAGACAAACAGCTGCAATTGCAGTAATTGATATAGGAATACAGGATAGTAGTGAAGTTTACGAGACAATGAAGTCTCTTTGCGCAGATCCAGTAACAAATGTTAGATACGTAATTGCAAAAAGACTCCCTCGAAATTCAAAGCTACTTGACTTATTCAAGAATGAAACAGACCAGGATGTTAAAGATGCTTGCACTTGATATCACATTTTCTATTTGTATTAAAGTGTTAATATTTGTTAATATTTAAACTTTTTTTATAAAGAATTTGATCGTTGACATTATAAAATGTAATAAATCATCATTAGATTTCTTTAAAGTTCACTTTAGTGATTGCATTTTTTGCATAAATCAATATAAACACTGACATAAATTATATAATGTTAAATTTGTCTATTAGTCAAACTCAAAACGTATGGAAATCAAATATAGTAAGCATTTTTTTTGGAAAAAGAAAAATAAATAAGGTGAATGTTTTCAGAGCAAAATATCATATTTATGTCGAACTATCTGTTGCATTCATAACAAATAATGACATTCTTATTCAGAAAGAAAAAAAAAGGAAAATAATTAAATATTGAAGATTGAAAGATGAATAAAACATATTGCAGGAGCGAATATTGAGATGACATTTGTCATCAAATGGATGTTTCATGTGGATTTTTCCACATTTAATATAATCGTTGTTCACGTTGATAGTATCTACTTCAACATCAAGATTCGTCTTACTGACATTAAAATTTATAACATTTCGAGGAACTAAGACATAAAACTTAACACCTTTAAATGCATCACATTGAGATAAACATGATGAATTAAATGTTATAACATCACTACTTTCCAAAGGGAACACCAAATGTTTCAACATTGAACAATTGATGAATGAATTCGAATCAATTATCATGTTATTATTCAATTTACTAAATTTAATGATTTGCAAATATTTACAATCGACAAAACTTTTTGGTTCAATCTTTTGCAGTTCAGAATCAAATTCAACATAACTTCCTAAATAAGAGTTAAATATTCCAGATTTAACAATCATTAGTTTTGGTGGCATTTTAATTACAGATGCACACCAGTGAAAAATAAGCACATCAAGAGTTTGAATGTTATCATTCTGGAAAATGATTGATTTGGAAAAACAATTAAAAAATCCATATGGCTTAATAGTAGTTATAAATGATGGAATAACTAAATCAAATTTTGACTCATATCCTCTAAAAGCTTCCTTTTCAATTATTTGGCAATTCGGATTAAAAGTAAAAAAGTTTGGATAAATATTTGGTATCCAAAACAAAGATTTGTAATCATAACTATATATACAATTATTATATATCCTAAAATTTGTATTCCTTAAATCAATTGTGACATTGAGATTACGCATTAAGTTGAAAGATCCTGTTGAAATCTTGCAGTTTTGCGGTATAAAAATATTTTCAATTGAAGAAGATTGACCAATTGCATATCCAATGAATTCCAATAGACTATTTTCTGATATTTCTAAATTATGTAAGGATGTACAAGCTGTAAAAACACCACCATTAATTTCATTATCATAGAATCCTCTAATATATAAAACAGAATCCGGAATAGAAACAATTTTTAATTTTGTTCTATAAAATGCTGCAGAATAAATAGTTTTCAATTCTCCATTCATAGGAAGAAATACTTGATTTAAATTACTATTTTTAAAGGCGCCAGAGCTGATGCTCTTGAGATGATTACACATGCTTAAGTTGGCAATTATTAGTTTAGAAAATGATGAAAATGTTCCAATACCGAGACTTTCGAGTAAAGATTCTTCTTCAAAACTTAAATATTGTAAAACGTTTCTGAGTGATGAAAGAGGACAAATATCAGGCTGTTTATCAACAACAGAACAATCTTTAATTCGAACAACATTTTTCGGAAACTCAATTCTTTCACTTGGACTAACTTCGATCAATGTTGTATTTCCTTCATCTTCGTACTTAAATTCAATAAACAATGATAAAAGAATACACAAAATAACCAATTAATACTTCAAAACTACATGATAAAAAATATTTGTCAAATTTATCGTAATATGATCAAATTGAATTACTATTAAAATTCATAAAATTTCTTGACATTCCATATAGACAGTTATTGTGACAGAAACATATTCTTATTCTTTCAAGATTTGTTAGAAAGAGAATCGATTCAACTTCAAAACAAAAGATGTGAGTATTAGATGATAATAAATTGTGAATATCAAATATTGCTTTTGAAACACAAATCAACAATTTTTGTGGTATTCGAAAAATGCTCTTCGGCTATCAATACCTTCACAATTTTCTGATAATATGAAAAATCACGAAATACATCTTTAAAATACATAAGAATTAGAAATATTACAAAATAAACACATAAAATTTAAAAAGAGCCCCTTTTATTCAATTTTGAGGGAATTTGAAAAAGTTGTAATAAAATTTTTAGATTTAATTTTTCAAGAGTTTAGTAAAGAATTGAAGAATAAAATTTAATTATATAAACTGTATATAAATGATTTTTATTATACGCTATTCAATTTATTGTGTTTAGCGATTTAACTATCAGCTTGAGAGTTTATATATCTTTAGAATGACACTATGCATCATTTCATAACTACAGTTCCAAAAATATACTGATTTATAATTTTGAGTTCATGATAATTCAAAGCGAAACTTTTTAATATAAAATTGGTGTCTAATGTGATATAGACAAATTTTATGTATTATTTTTGAGTGACGATAGAATTTGTTTTTTCTAATAATTGGTTCTCAATTTTATTTTTTATTAATGCTGCTTTGCTTAATTTCATATTCGTTCTCTGTATGCCCCGAGGGACAGTCGTATGAAATTCCAAATGGTACATCATCAATCAATGAAAAGGAATTTTACCGATGCTCTAGACTCACAACAATAACAATCCCTAATAGTGTTACATCAATTGGATCCAGTGCATTTTATGGTTGTTCAAGTCTTGCATATCTAGAAATTCCTAATAGTGTTACATCAATCGGTGATAATTCATTTGCTGAATGTTCAAGTCTTACAGATATAGAAATTCCTAATAGTGTTACATCAATTGGACCCCGTTCATTTTTTGGATGCTCTGAGCTCAAAAATGTGACAATTCCTAATAGTGTTTCATCAATCAGTAATTATCTATTTGCTGAATGTTTAAGTCTTACAGATATAGAAATTCCTAATAGTGTTACATCAATTGGACCCAGTGCATTTTATGGATGTTTAAGTCTTTCAACAATAACTTTGGGAAATCAAATTATATCAATTGATGAAAATGCATTTGCTGAATGTTCAAGTCTTACAGATATAGAAATTCCTAATAGTGTTACATCAATTGGACCCAGTACATTTTATGGATGTTCAAGTCTTTCAACAATTACACTGGGAAATCAAATTATATCAATTGGAGAATATGCATTATCTGGATGTTGGAGTCTTACATATTTAAATATTCCTAATAGTGTTACATCAATTGGAGAATATGTTTTATATGGATGCTCTGAGCTCAAAAATGTGACAATTTCTAATAGAATTACATCAATCAGTAATAATTCATTTGCTGAATGTTCAAGTCTTACAGATATAGAAATTCCTAATAGTGTTACATCAATTGGACCCAGTGCATTTTATAGATGTTCAAGTCTTACATATTTAGAAATTCCTAATAGTGTTATATCAATTGGAGAATATGCATTTTCTGAGTGCTATGAGCTCAATATTATAACATTTGGAAATAAAATAATTTCAATTGGAATAAGCGCATTTGAAAGTTGTGAGCGCCTCATAAATATAACACTTCCTAATAGTATTACATCAATTGGAGAATATGCATTTTATGGCTGTTATGATCTCATTAATATAATAATTACTAATAAAATCACATCACTTGAAAATGGAGTATTTTCTGCATGATCTAGTCTCCCAAATTTCACAGTTAGTAACAGTGTTAAATCAATTGGAAACAATACATTTTCTTTTTGTAATATGCTCCAAACCATATTAATTGGCAATAGTGTTACGTCAATTGGAAATGAGGCATTTTCTGGATGTCATAGTCTTATATCAATTATAATTCCTAATTGTGTCACATCACTTGGAGACTCAGTATTCGCAGGATGTTCTCGCCTTAAATCTGTAGTAATTTCAAATAGTATAAAATCATTTGGAATTAAAGCCTTTGCTGATTGTTTGGAACTTACTAATATAACAATTCCTGATAGTGTTACATCAATTGGAGAAAAGGCATTTGCTCAATGTTTCAGCCTCAAAACATTAGAAATCCCTAATGGTGTTACATCAATTGAAAACAGTTCCTTTACAGGATGTTCTCAGCTCTTAAGTGTAATAATTGGTAATAGTGTTACATCAATTAAATCTTACGCATTTTCATAATGTAACGCACTATCAAATATAACATTTGGCAGAAAAATTACATCAATTGGAAAAAATACATTTGAATATTGTTATAGTATCACAACAATAACAATTCCTAATAGTATTTCATCAATTGAAATGAGTGCATTTCAAAATTGTTATAGTCTCAGAACAGTAACACTTCCTAATAGTATCACATCAATTGGAATAAGTGCGTTTGCAAATTGTTCTGGTATCACAACAATAACATTTCCTAATAGTGTTATATCAATTGGGGAAAAAGCATTTGCAAATTGTTCTGGTATCACAACAATAACATTTGGTAATAATGTTGCATCAATTGATTCATATGCATTTTCAAGTTGTTCTGCACTATCAAGTATAATGTTTGGAAATAAAATCATATCAATTGGAAACAGTTCTTTTAATAACTGTTATAGTCTTATAAATATAATAATTCCTAATAGTGTTAGAATAATTGGAGAAAATGCATTTTTTGGATGTGATAATCTATCAAGCATAACAATCGGTAGTAATGTTGAATCAATTGGAAGAAATGCATTTACTGGATGTTTTAACTTAACAAATATTACAATCAAAACTACGAATGATATCACCGAATCAATTTCATTTGATGCATTTGAAGGTTGTCCAATTACAATGCTTGTTTATGAAACAATCGGATTCACACTATTAAATTTTGAGCGCTTCAAAAATAAAATTGAAGTAATCAATTTCAGTTTTCCAATTCCTAGTTCGAAATCAATGAAAAGACTTCAAGAAACACCTTCATTACCAACATTGACACATTTCACTCGTTTACATTTAATCATCATCGAAAACATAAATGATTTTGTAATTCCAGAATTTTTTGTTCAAGGAGATAATGTTGAAATCTATATTGCTAACAGCATAAAGTATATTGATCCAAAAGCATTCAAAGATTGCTCAATTATCAAATTCACTTATCTAGGAACAGATAAACTTGAAGGAAATTTCCTTAAAAATGCCAAATCATGCAAAGAAGTAATAACATCTGCAAATTATAGGGATGATTAAAAAAAAAAAAAAAAAAAAAGGTAGTGGGGCCTCCAGGCACTTCGTGCCTTCTAGCCCTGAGGATGATTGGTATAATGAAGTTTTTTTTTTCTTGGGATGGCCTTCCGGGCACTTTGTGCCCTCTAGCCCATAAGAAATTTTGCCCAAGACCCAAGAGGAGGACCGAACCCCAGCCGGTGACACTTTTTGTGTCGCTTTTTCACAAATTATATATGTTTTCATGTTTTGTCAAGACTTCTTCGTAAATGTTTTGTCAAGACTTCTTCGTAAATGTTTTGTCAAGACTTCTTCGTAAATGTTTTGTCAAGACTTCTTCGTAAATGTTTTGTCAAGACTTCTTCGTAAATGTTTTGTCAAGACTTCTTCGTAAATGTTTTGTCAAGACTTCTTCGTAAATGTTTTGTCAAACATGAACGTAAATGTTTTGTCAAGACTTCATCGTAATGAGTGTAAATGACCAAAAATAATGTTTAGGGTAGAAGGTTAGATCTAACCTCTTTTCTAACCTCTTTTCTACCCTCTTGAATTTGTCAAGATTTCTTCGTAAATGTTTTGTCAAGACTTCTTCGTAAATGTTTTGTCAAGACTTCTTCATCGTAATGAGTGTAAAGGACCCAAAAATAAAGTTTAGGTGAAGAGGTGAGATCTCACCTGTTTTCTCACCTCTTTTCTCACCTCTTGAATTTTCATGATTTCTTCGTACATGTTTTGTCAAGACTTCTTCGTAAATGTTTTGTCAAGACTTCTTCGTAAAATCAGACAAAAATATATTTTAGGTGAAGAGGTGAGATCTCACCTGTTTTCTCACCTGTTTTCTCACCTCTTGAATTTTCATGATTTCATCGTAAATGTTTTGTCAAGACTTCTTCGTAAAATGTTTTGTCAAGACTTCTTCGTAAATGTTTTGTCACTTTTCTGTCACTTTTCAGGTAAAAACATTTTTATATATATATAAATGAATTTTACAAAACCGCCGTTACCGTTCTTTGGAAATAAGAGTAGATGTAAAGATATTATATTGAGAGAACTTAAGAAACTACCGAATGGTCTAACATTTGTAGATTTGTTCGGTGGAAGTTTCTATATATCCCATTTGTGCCATATAATATTCCCAGACTCAAAGATTATATGCAATGACTTCGACAACTATATGGACCGTCTCAAACATATTCCAGACACAAACAATATATTGAAAGAGTTAAAAGAAAGATACCTATAGGTAAGATGGAACGTATACCATTAGATAAGAAAATATTGTGAGAGAGGTTTTGAAAAAGCAGAATATATAGACTGGGATAGTATATCTGCTAGACTATTATATAGTGGTTCTATAAGAGTTCATGACATTGAAACACTTATGTCAAAAGTTTTATATCTTAACTATACAAATGTTTTTCAAAGAGGACATAGAAAAATATATTGAGGGTATAGAGTTTGTGAGATGTCATTGGACAGATTTGTATGAAAAATATAAAGACAAGGAAAATGTTTTCTTTATAGTGGCCGCCGTTCTATAACACATGGGATTTTCAATACAAGTAGACTGGACTTTGAGAGACTCTTTAGAAACTTTAGACGTTTACATAACCATCCATGCTTTTACTTTACATCCGATAAAAGTGGTTTGGAAACCGTTATGAGATGGTTAGAGGACATAATGACTATGAGTTTATATATGACAAGATAGAATAATGAGAGAGGTCCTATAAACTGGAGAAAGTGTCATAACAAAGAAATTTTATTAGTAAGTAAATGTGGTTTGAAATAGGACTACTTGTTTTAGGTTTTTTCCATTGTGTCATTTATTTATTTGACGTGGCAGAAAAGTACAGAGAATATGAAGATGAACCAATGCCTGCAAATGTTCAGCATATGTACTCGTAAGAGATATTTTTATCTAATATTAAATGGACGCACAGAACTTAGCGAATGCACAGCAACCTGGACAACCAAACCCAGAGAATATTCCAAATGAAGTTAGAATACAAACTGCAATGGCAAACTATGGTCAAGTGCCAACAGATGTACAAATGCAAACTACCATGTCAAATGACGCTGCGTTAGGTTTGCCACCATGGTATGCAAATATGAGATGGAAAGAGTTTTATACAAACCCTGAAGTGGGATATAAACAACTTTATGCAGATGACGCGAACACAGGAGTTGACCCAGAATATGTTTTCTACCAGAGGAGAAACAGAATGTATGAGCTCCAGTTAAAGAATGCTATGGAACTCAACAGGAAACGTAAGAGACTAGGCGGACATTAGATTTTTACATATAGTAAAATGGGTTTCTTCAGTAGTATTGGAAACTTCTTTCGAAATGTTGGAAGAGGTATATGGAATGGCGTCAAAACCGTAGGAAGAGGAATTTGGAACGGAGTCAAAAATATTGGTAAAAGAGTAGGTCAGTTTGTTGGTATTATACCTAAAGACCCTGAACCAGAAGAACAAGCTCCTGTTATACAACAGCCTGAACCTGCACCACAGTCAAGTTGGCAACCAAATCCAACACCTCAACCGTATTAAAAAATTATATTTTTACCGTTCGATAGTAGTTGTATATGAAACTAAGTTCTAAGTAAAACGCATGGTATAATGGAATTATTCTTTTTCTTCCATCTGTAGTAAACCATACTTGAAAGTCTGAAATACTTCCACTTGGTGGTTCGTATAACTTTGTAGGTTTTTCGTAAAAGTCATTTGCCAAGCATAAGAAAGAGTTTTGGGCGCCAGAAAATGAAGCATGAACAATAATAGCATCTTGGTCGAAAACATTTTCATATGTTCCATTAGGGTTTTCGACTTCATAAAAGTCTGGGTGTACTGGATATGCTGCAGGCTGATTTAACATCCTCAAAAATCTATACCATGCCAAGTTGTTATATTTTGTAGAAATATAAACGTTTTCTCCAAGGTCTTCTATTCTATTGATTTTAACAGTTGCATTTTTCCTGTCATAAATAATATCGAGATGGTACTCTCCTTCGTCAATGTTATACTGGTTTGCATATTCGAGATAGATATTGTTTATTTTTTCTTGAAAAGCTTGAAGAGTTGTTTCTAAGTTTACAAGCAAACTAACTTGTAAAAGTTTTCCCTGTTCAAATTTCTCATACATACGTTTTTCTTTGTTATAGTATCGAACTTCAAAACCGACCGTAAATGGGAAACCATGTATGGCTTCTGAAATGAACTTCATTCTACGAAAGCCAATAGCTTTTGTGACAGATGGGTCTCTTAGCCATCTTAATGGGTAGTCAAAACGATAGCCTTCATGCTTTACGGTCTCTGTCTCAAACTTTTGACCGACATTAGTAAAAAGTTCATCTAATGGTTTAGTTGTAGCAACTCTTGAATTTTCTTTTTCTATTGGAAGCATATTTTATCTAGAATAAAAATGTCGAAAGATATTGCTTCTATGAGAGAAATACAACACAACCGACAACTCATTATGCAAGCTCTAAATAAGAACACAACAAACTTTTCAAACTATTCTAAGATATCTGAGTCATTGAAAGAAGGAAACTTAAAACTGACATTAAACCCAATGACAGATGAGTTTCTGTTTCAAGACAATAAGAACCATACTGTCTGTATAAATCCAACAAAAGGAACTTTAAACGAGAAAACCTATAAATGAACTTCTTTTGAAGGCAGATGTTGACAACAAAGCTGACAAAGAATATGTAGACGATGCAATAGCAAAAGAAGAAGAAAGAGCTAACAATGCTTATGCAACAAAAGACATACTCATCCTGAACTAGCAGACAAAACATATGTTGACAATAAAATGTCAAGTGAAGTGACAAGAAGCTGAAAACGAATATTCTAAAAAGACTCATACACATTCTATATCTGAAATAACAGACTTAAACGTTAGCCTTGAAAGAAAGCAGATAAGGAATATGTGGCTAGTAAGTTAGAGAAGAAAAGCGATAAGGAATATGTGGATGA